CCTGATCCAAATAATTTCCATGCTTCCCTAAAGGACGGTGTAATATTATGTGAGTGAGTATTCATATTACAATTATTAACTGTTTAATAATATTAATAATAATATTAATAATAATAATATTTAATAATATTGAATTTAATACAATTTAAACAATTATAATAGATTAATTGTAAAATTACGTGGTCTTAAATATGGCAATTATCAAAAGGAAGTAAATGGAACATCATTTAAAGAAATGGAAAATATTGCCTTCTTTATTCAAAATGTTCAAAAAATTGGATTAAAATGTGAATGGACAATTAGAGCATTACACAAAAATTCTGATCTTAATTCTGTTTTGAAAACTGTAATTGATTTATCAAAACATTTTGAAACCAAGTTTAGAAATTCAAATGCAGTCCAATCTAAAAACAGTAGTAGTGAAGAGGAATTATTTACTGGACCTTTCTTGAAATTACCAATTTTATTTAAACAACCATCAAATGCAACTATTGAAGTGAATGCTTCTGTACCAATGTGGAAAAGTGCATTAAGAAAGACAACCAGTGGTGTGAAATTAACAAGTGAAACTGAAACAACAACAACTCCAGCAACGACAACGACTGAGGAAAAAACATCAACTCCTACTGCCACAACTCCAATAGAGAAATCTTCACCAACAACTTTACAAAATACAGTTTCAACTCCTTCTACAGTAGAAGTTAAACCAGAAACTAAAACAACTGCATCAAATTCTAATGCAAGTTCTACTGCCACTAGTTCAAAAAGTACTGCCACTGCAAGTAAGCAGCAACCAACACAAGAAGTTGTGGAAAAGAAAGTTGAACCAACAAACAAGGATGTTAAAACAACATCCGCCACTGTTGCTACCAAGGAAGTGACCACAAAAACACCAGTAACTACTGAGGTCAATCCAACAAGTGATAAAAAGACAGCAACAGGAACTTCTGCAAATAATGGCAGTAGCTCAAGTTCGACATCTAATTCATCTACTGGAAATTCATCACCAAGAGAAAAGATTCCTGACAAGACTTCTCCAACAACTGCTGCTATTCCTTCTAAGGCAATTTTAAAGCCAACTAGCAAGACAAGCAATAATACTCCTTCTACCCCTCAATCAAGTGGACAAGTGCCTGGGGAATGGACTAAATTGAAGCCAACAAATTCTGGAAATAACCTCAAAGAAGCTGCCAACTCTGAAAAGCAACCTGAATTTTTAACAAATCGATTAAGACCTGTCTCTGTAAAGATGAACGCATCACCACTATCTGAAGCACTCAAGAATGAAAATTCAACAAAGGAAACCCCAAGTACAACTGCACCTGTGGTCGAAAAGCAACCAGTGACTAAGGTTGAACCAGTTAAAGATGTCAAGACTACAACTCCTGTTACTACTAAGGAAGTTACCACAACACCTGTCAAGGAAGAAAAGCTAATTCCTCAAAAAACAACTCCTCCAAAAGAGGTTACACCAAGTAAGGATGTTAAAAAAGATCCAGTTTCAACTCCTCAAGAAGCATCTCCTAATACTGGAGTTTCATATTTGGCTAATTTGAAATCTACACATGCTAAGAATGTCTCAACTCCAACATCAAATGAAGTGCCAAATTTCAAGGCCCAACTGAAACCAGTTGCCAAACCAGCAAATGAACCTTCAAATAATACACCAACATCAGTAAGTGCAACAACAGGAGGCGGTATTTTCCCAGTTCAATTGAAAAAAACAAACATTTCACTTGCATCTTTGGAAAATAAGGAAACAACCTCTCCTTCAGGTTCCAACACAAAAACCAATTCAGGATTCGGCTCTCCAAGAAGTGATTCTGGATCAAGTACTACAAATACCAGTCAATATGTGGCTAATGAATCTACTGCAGATTCATTGTCTGAAGATGGATCAAGTGTAATGGACTTTGATGAAGATGAAGAAGACATGAGTAATGATCAAGGAATTTCTTATAATATTAAGAAATTGAAAGATCAAGTCACTAATCAACATCCTTCTGCTGAATATTTGTACTCACTTTACAAACTTATTGAGAAGAAATCAGTGAAATGGTGTACAAAATTCTCAGATCAAGAAGGAGGTGCCAAATATCTTGGCCAAATCATCACAACCATGAATGAAAAGAAATATAGAAGTATGAATGAAAAAACAGTTCAAGAAAGAAGTTTGAAATGTTGTCACGCTCTGATTGAAAAGGGTATTTTTGATCCATTCCTCAAGAATCCAAGTTCTGTTTCTGCGATTACTTTCATGATTGATTCAAAAGATGGTATCAAGATTAGAATTATGGCTTTGGAAATCTTGTCATTGATTTGTACTTATAATGAACAAGGTTTTTGGACAGTTCTGGAAGGGTTAAACAGATACAAAACAGAAAAGAAGGAACCAAGAAGATTCCGTGACTTGATTGAATTCCTTAAAGTAGAAAAGGATGAAAAGTTGAAAACTTTCTGTTTAATGTTATTGAACTCACTTATTAACACTCCTCAAGATTCGTTTATTAGAATTTTGATCAGAAATGAATTGAAACAACTTGGATTGGAAACAGTTGTTGATAAATTGAGTAATGATCTGCAACATGATAGAATTAGAGATGAAAATTTGAAAGAACAAATTAAAGTTTTCGAAGAAGAAATGATGATTGGTTTAATTGAAAAAGAACAAGCAGGTGTTTCAGATGATTCTGAGAACACAACTGAAAATCTCTTTAAGAATTTCAAATCCGAGACTGATCCATTGAAAATTGTCAAATTACTCATCTTGAGATTGGGTGCCACAACTGGTACCTCACATTTGGTATCTATTTTACAAAATTTACTTTCCTACTCGATGAGTTCAAGTATGGATCCAAAGTTTGAACCACAATTATTAACAAGTTGGAAGAATTTGGACAATACCATTAAATCAATGGTTCAAGCTTGTCAAATGAAAGGAGATAGTGGTATTATTGAAGATATTGCCAAGAAGGAAAAGAATGCCAGTTTTGAGAAACAAAAACAAACTTCCAAGATTTCAAACCTCAACTTGACTATTGAAAAAACCAACAAGGAAATTGACGAGTTGAAGAAACAAGTTGAAAATTGGAAGGTCAAATTCAATGAATCAACAAAGAATATTTCTATTCTTTCTAACCAATTGAATAATCTCCAAGCCAATAAGGACAACAATGCTCAACCAAATGATGTTAAAGTTGAACCAGTTCAACAAATTATTCCAATTGATACACAAATTTTCACAAAAGAAATTGATGAACTGAAATTACTCGTTAAAGAAAAAGAGGATTCCGTAGAGAATGTAAATAAGGAGAATGACAAGCTCAAGGATCAGTTGAAAGAATTGTTAATGGAATTGGAAGAACACAGAAGAATGTCCTTCAAACAATCCTTACAAACTACTACAGGAACAGTCAGATCTAATTCTAGCAATACTTCGAGCATCTCTGAGGTCAGCAATCAGAATAGTGCTGTCATTGATCTAGAACCTTCTTTCACAACCGGTGCTGCTGGTTCTGGATTTGTACCTCCACCTCCAGGAGCTAGTGGTAGTGGATTTGTACCTCCACCTCCAACTGGAGCCTCTTCTGGTGGTTCCAGTCCTAATATTCCTCAAGTTCCAAACATGACTGGAGCTGGTTTACCTCCTCCACCTCCTTCTGGTATTGTATCAATGTCAAAGAAGAATCCACTACCAGAATTATCAAAGAGAGCTCCAAAGAGTGCAGTTAAAAACTTTTATGGTGTTGCCATCAATAGACATAAGGTTTCACAAACATGTTGGGTTAAAGGTGGTATTGCAGCTGAGTCTAAGGAAGTTCAAATTGATGAAGATGAATTGGAAGACTTGTTCTCAAATGCTCCAAAAAAGAACAACAAAGACGAGGAAAAGAAGCGTAAGGAATTGATATCATTTGTTGAACCACAAAAAGGAAGCGCTCTCTCAATTTTATTGGGATATATTCGATTGGATTATTCTGAGATTAAGAGAGCCATTTTAGAAATGGATGAGGAAGTTTTGACTGCTCAAGTTGTTGATACTCTAAAGGATAAGATGGCAACTGCTGATGAATTGTCACAAATTGAGGCATACAATGGCGATGCAGATTTATTATCACCTGTAGATAAGTTTTATTTGGCCCTCAAGGATGTTCCAAGATTGGAAGGAAGATTATTCTGTTGGGCTTCAGATTTAAATTCCAAACAGAAGTATCAGAAGTTTTATCTGATTTGGAAACAGTTTTAACTGCTTCCACTCAAGTAGTTCAAAGTAGTAGATTTAAGAGATTGTTAGCTGTTATTTTGGCTATTGCTAACTTTTTGAATGCAAACTCTTCATCAAAGAAGAACGCCTATGGGTTCACATTGAACAGTTTGTCCAAGTTGCAAGACACCAAGACATCAGATAACAAGTCATCTCTCTTACAATATATCAGTTCATATTGTGAAAAATCATTCCCTGATCTATTGAATATTAAGGAAGATTTTTCATCATTGGAGGATGCTACTCGTGTTTCCCTCGTTGAATCAGATAATGAATACAGAAAGTTAAAACAAGGATTTGAAACTATGGAAAGAGAATTACAGAATCCACAATGGGAATCCACAACTTTCAAGAATAACATGAGTGAATTCATGGAAAGTGCCACAAGATTTTTAGATGATATTGATTCAATCTTATCAAAGATTGATGAGAAGTTAAAACAAATTGCTGAAGATTTTGCTGAGGACGAAAAGACAGTTTGTAAGAATCCAAATGAACTCTTCCAAACCCTCAACAATTTCCTCAATAACTTTAGAAATGGTTATGAAGAACTTGTGAAACAGAGAGAAGCTGACGAAAAGAAGAAACTCAAACAAAAAATCATGGAAGAAAAGAAGAAACAATCGGCTGCCTTCTTTTCCAATCATACCAACATGAGAAGTGAG